TTCATAAAAAAGGAATGTGACCTGAACACATCTGCCTTATCTCCAGACAATGGAGCCTGGGACCAAACGAAACCAAAAGAGAGCTTGAAATAGGCGCTAAATCATCAGGTTCTCAAAACAGCCCAGCACCTATGGATTGGTTGGATTTCAACCGGATGGTTGGACACTGAGGGGAGGAGTCCTAAATGGGCATTGTGATGTAACCTTTCACATGTGAATTCTTGCTTTGCTCTCCTGCTGTCATTAACTCTCAATAAAGTTCCTTTGGAAACAATGCCTGTTTCAAGAGTTCTGCTTTCTTGCAAGATCTAATTGAGGCAGGTCCTTACATAAAGCAAGGTCTGCAGTAGTGCCCAGCCTGGAGAGGCAGCTGCCCTACCGTGATGGCCATGCACGATATGTCTCTGCATGGCAGTGAGAGGGGAGAAGCCAGGACCGAGGATTGGAGTGAGTCAGCTACCCAGGCCTGTCCTAAACAAGATATCTTTGGTTGGAGGAAGCTGTTGCCCTGGAAGACTCCATGAAACCGAGATGATCACTCAGTATCTGGAAGAAACAGGACTAGGAAGAAAGAGCTCAAAGGGTAACTTTCACCTGGGAGGCTGGAAAAAGACTTGAAAGAAAACGATGGAGCTGCTTTCCAATGATGAAGAGATGGACAAGCAGTCAGACTAGATGGAGGGGATACTGAAGCAAGCCATGCAGTACATGGTGGAAGCTTCTGAGGACTTAGAGGTTGTGGCTGAATATAGTGAAATTCAGTGTTAATTTGAAGATTACTTCCTGATCAGATGAAACATCTGGTGTGTGAACCAGAAAATTTAAAAGAATATATAATTTAAAAAAAAAAACATTTTCAGGGAATGCTGAGTTTTCATATTGCTAATTGTAGTTTTAGCAATTTCTTCTGTCTTCATCTTTCTGTTTTGTTCCTCGTTACTGGGAATAACACAGGTTGGAAAGCATCAGTATTTTCTGAGTTTTCTGTTTCTTTTATTAAAACATCATCAAGTGTTTGTCAAAATATTCATTCAAAAATATTTCCATTCACTATCCGCCTATTGCTGCAAAACTGTTTTTTTCCCCTTGACAAAAATGCATTCTTCTCCCCTCTCCCATTACAATGCATCAAATGTTCACTGCTTTCTAAAATGTTCCAAATAGATTTACAGAAAATAAATGTGCTGTTCCTCTCCGTGGAACCTCAGGATGGTGAACCATTATTACTTTGATGAGATCACCAGTCTATTTGTTTCACTGGCCTTGTCCCATGTAACAATTATGCTTCGCCCCCCCCCCAAAAAAACCCTGTACAAAATCTTACATTATTTGCAAATGTACCTTATGTAGGCTTCATTCCTTTCCCCTGGCCCAGCCCTTATTAACCTTTTCAATATTCTTTTTTGGGGGAAAAAAACACAGAATATTTATATCAAAGTATTTCAACACTAGTTATGGAAGAACTTTTTGTGCAGTTCTAACAAACTGGGCTTAGCTTTTGTGAACTGTGGCAGCAATATGTTTCTTTTCAGGAAGGACAAGAAAAGAGAAAATTATGGAAGAAATTTGGAGCAGCATCTCCAAATATAGATGCATCCCAAAGGTGCTTTTTCAGAAGGCTACTGGACTTTCTTTGCTTTTTTTCTTAAAGAGGTTTCACTTCTCATCCAATAAGCTTTTTCAGTTTGACTGAATGGTGGAAAATGGAAGGATTTATATTCCTTGCAGTCATTTGGTCATTAACACTCTTTCTGAGAATCATTGAGGCCATGTGGAGGTTTATCTGTGCCCTCAGGGCCACCTGAATAAAGTAAATGGGTGACCCAGAGAGCACAGATAAACCTCAAAGTGGCCTCAACAACTCTCAGAAAGAGTGCTAATGACCAGATGACTGCAAGGAATATAAATCCTTCCATTCTTCACCATTCAGTCAGAACTGAAGAAGCTTCTTGGATGAGAAGCAAAATGTCTTCAAGGAAAAATGAAGAAAGTGCAGTTGCTTTTTGAAAATAACATAAAATATAGGTGTATGCTATTCTTTCTTTTGGAGAAACGTCTTCCCTTCTTTTGTTCTTCTGTTATTTCTCAAATACAATTTATCCAGGACCTTTGTGGAAATAGTTTGGATGTACGTTTATTGTAAGGCTGCCTTCCCTAATTTGGACTCCAGCTCCGATAATCCCAGCTACCCATGAGCATGCTGGCTATGTACTAAGGACATGTTAAATATTAGTAAAGGCTGTTTTGGAAAATGGCATATACCTCAGCTGGTTTCATTATGCCATAGATTGACAGCAATTTTTCTGATAAAGTTGGCAAAGCTTGGGTCTCTACTAGCAGTCTGCCTCCCTTAACTCTGCTTGTGCTTTGGCAATCATCTCATTCCTTGTGTGGAATTCCTTCTATTTAAGGCCCAGAGAAGTGCTATCTGCATTTGCTCAGTCTTTATCTATACAAACTTCCACATCCCTGATAGCAAATATAAGTGATTACTATGCTCCTAAATCACTTGAACTTTTTTCAAAGGTCAATATTTTTCCCCTGTAGTTGCATAGCCACCTTTGGTTATTAATAAGACTGATTTAAGGAAGTCTTTCTCCTGAAAAGCTGAAATGCTTTCTCTTATTCACTTATGGCTTGCTCTGTTACTCTCAGATACACCTAATAGAAAATAATCCATGTGAAATAATACTCTGTAAAAGTAACAGAGCCCCTACTCTGAAAATATAGATTAGTTATGTTTTAATTTTTATTTTCTATCCAGTTTTATAGTGTGGAGTCCACATTATGTACCGATTGGTTGAGGTAAGTCTGGCACCAGCTGTACCCTGGCTATCCTGAATTGTCAGTGACTTCTAATTAAGATTTTATCTTTTCTTAATGCCTGATCCTATTCTTAGCCACTTCTATGAGATAACAGGTCGATTGGTATTATCAGCAAAGCTATTTCCTAGCTTCCCCTCCTTACATGTTTCTAGTGGGTGATGCTTAAATAGCATGTCATGCCCCTATTTATGGGCTTAGTCTAATTTCAGTGAAAAATAGTAGGATCAAACAGAGCTGGAAGTGGATGAAGGCAGGATTTTGTTTCTAATGACCATGGCAATGTTTTAAGCCAAGTGTGAGCCAGTATAAGATATATCAAACAGAATGGCCCAGTTCCTCAGCTTTCTTACTCAATTGGCTGAAATCTGATTCAGAAGAAAATTTATGTTGGGCGAACACCCCCCCCCATCCTAACTCCAAATGTATTTATTTCTAGAATTTAGAAGACTTTTTTTTCCAGATAACATAATAATAAATATGGGGATGCAGAGGGCTGGAGCATCTTCATGTTAGACTTTACACACATATCCTTCTAAAATAGGCATCCATAATGTATATTTTGAGTTACTAAGGCAACTCAAAAAAATCAAAATATCTGATCTAGTGAGAGACACTGCTAGAATCATAAACACTGAAACCAAAGAAGCGGTAACTGAACTCATGGATCACCACAATCTATCAGCTGCCATTTCCATGGAAAATATAGATATATACCTATACCAAGGCATTCCGTACACTCAGGATTTTAAAGAACAGGATTCATACTTCATTGGTCTTTATCCTTCTTTAAACAGGGGAGAGAAAAAGAAAAGCCAGGGTTTAGCACCTTTATATTATTTTGCTGAGTTAAACAAAATGAACAGCCATGGTGCAAATCAGATTATTAACACAAGGGAATAGCTTATTTCCCTAACCTTGGTAATGGAATCCACCCAACTCCCTTTAACTTGCTATCCATAGGCTTTTCTTTATATGACTACAATCCCTGTACAATTCCCTTGTCAACATGCAATAATCAAAAGGTTTGTTATACTGTTCCTACTTTTTAAATTGTAATTTAATTTGCCCAGAGTCTTCAGGAAGCCTCTACACTGTATAAACAAAGTAAAATAAATATTGATGGAAATTGGCTAGCATGCATAGCTATGCCATCTCTCCTTTGTTAATGTACCCATCCAAGTTTTATGTTTAAACAAAGCTAAGTTCTCCCAACTATCCATACAGATTTGCCTACCACGTGAACATATCTTCATTGTAATTTGTACACATCACTTAAGAAACAGCAAGTAAGCTTCATGCAAATTGTGTGGTCCACATAGTAGAATTTATACCATCCAAGGTAACATAACAAAGAAAAAAATAGACTATGAAATCAGTTTTCCACTGTAGAGTAACACCTTTGCTTTTCCTGTGATACACTGGTATAAATTTATATTTGTCAGGTTTAAAGCTGCCCAATCATCTTTGAAGACTCTCTGGAAAAAGCAGCTTTAAAAAAGTTGCTTTTCTAAGAAACCACTATGTAGTATATTAACAGACTGTAGGAATGAAAATGCCTTGAAGGTGAAAAAGTGTTCCAAGCAAGTGTTTTCACAGATAAGTCTTTAATTAAAGCAGAGTGTCAGGGTATCCAAGAGAATAGAGCATGAGCTATGCATTTGGCACTTGGTTTTTGCACATTACACAACATTGTCAGCTAGTTTAGATTAGAAGCATACTTTTGCTACGCTGGTGTAATTACCTCATTTTATTTCTGAAATGTACTCTTTGTCATGTGGCCCAGTGTGACCTTCAAATAAAATAACTCAGGGCATTGCCAGATTTGTTTTCAGGTTTCAACGGGAAAAGAAATTAATCTTCTCCTGATCAATCAACAGCATCACTAGGCAATTTCCATCACAGGTTTTGGCTCCTTCCTATGGCAGTTTTGTGCAAAAGGAAAACCGTGGATTACTTCACTTTTTGTGAAGAGTTGAAGTCATGTCTTAAAGCATTTAAACTTTCTTTTCCTCCTCCTCCAGGATATGCACACCAGGGTCTCCAACTCCTGGGCTGTAGATTGGTACTGGTCCATGGTGTGTAAGAAACATGGTGGCACAGTGGTTAGAGTGCAGTATTGTAGGCTAACTCTGCTTAATGCCAGGAGTTTGATTCCTTCAATCCTGACCAGCTCAAGACTGACTCAGCCTTCCATCCTTCATTGGAAGATCTGCAAAAAAAACAAAAACAAACAACAACAACAACCACCATTAGCCTGTAAGCAAGAACCGATGGAATCACAAAATAGAGAAAGTAATAGAAAATGAAGCAGCTAAAGTGTTCTAGGACTTTGGAATTCAAACAGGCAAGCATCTGCCACACACAACACACCAAATTTAAAATTGTCAATAAGAAAGACAAAAAAGTTTTGATAGTGGACATTGCAATAGCTGGAGACAATGTAACAGTGGACAAAGAACTGTAGAAAATCACAAATATAAAGATCTAATAGAACAACTGTTGCAAAAGAAAGCAAATATAGTACCACTAGTAATAGGATGCTTTGGGTGCAATCCTAAAACCAAAACATCACTCAAACACCATTGACAGTGACAAAACCCCCCTCAGTCAATTACAAAGGCAGCTTTACTTGAACAGTTTGCATCATGCAACAATACTTTTAATATTATTAAACAACATCATCTGCCTATCCCAGGTCCTTGAGAAGAACCCAATAGATGGATAAAAATGCCAAACCCAATCTAAAACATCTGGCTGACTATACAACCGACAATAACAATAATTAAAGCTATTTCAGCAGTACCTTTAAGCCACCTTCGTTTGAAACAATGATTAATTGTCCTAAACCTAAACACAAACTCCTACTAGAATAGAGTAAGTCCTTTTTGAACTTTTTTAAAAAGCCTTGTTATCAATTACCCATTGGGATGAGCGATGTTTATGAAAATATGGGAGTATGAGCATGGAAGTATGCATACTCACATTTCCCAAACCATTCCCAAGCTTAAGAGCTGGCTAATAGAGTCCAGAGGAGTAAACAGAGGTGTAGTCTATGAGGCTGGATGTTGTACCAATGTTATCAGCTAGTCAGAGTCTAGATCTGGTCTCTACAGCAAAGTAAACCTCTAACAAGCTAGATCCTGGTGTCATGCAAGTACAGAAAAATCACAGCAGGAAAATTCTGTGTGATGCCCATATTTGTATTCTTTATTTCAAATCACTCAGTTCTCTAATTCAATGAAAACATTCTGCAATATTGCTTTTGATTTACAGCTCCCACTCTTTTGCATAAGGTTTTGGTTTTGAACACCTCTTCCTCCTAGAATAGAAAATGTTATTTTGATGCTAGTGCTTATTGTGTATATCATACCCTTCCTTGCTGTCCCACAGCTGCAGCCTCAAAGCCATTTGCAAAGATGTATCAAAACCAAGGCCACAAGAAGCGCCTGTCACCAGATAAAAACAGAGAAAAGAGATGGCATTCAAGGAATTGAAGGGAGCTTTCCTTACAGAGAAATTGGATACTAATGTATATGGACACCAAGCAGAGCAACTGGTGTAGTGTTTTAAAATAAGGGCAAGACACGTGGTGTGAGAGAGATAGGAGTGTGCTTATTTCATACAACTATTTCTGAAAAAATGGTGATAGAATGTGACAGAATTACTGGGGTATTTTGATCTGAACCATAAAAAACAATGGGCTAGCAAATGTTTATATGATTTTAGGCCCAGTTGGTGACTGAAAATAGGAGCAGGAGATTTACATCAAACAGCAAGAAGAAAAGTTCCTGAAAGCCGCAAATTATCTATGGCCCAGCTGATTCCAAATGCATTTGGAGTGTTCAGGACAGAAAAATCAATACTTAAGATATTTCTCTTCTTGCCTTCTAAAATCTATGGCTGAGTTTGAAAGATAGTGCAGTGGGACCTCAATTGGTTGGTGGTTTTCATCATGGTTGCTCTCGGCCTTTAAAATACTCTGGATAGCTTACTTGACTGGTTCTCTCTGTCTTAGAAAACATATTGAAACCTACTTATTTAGGAAGATCAGGTTGAAATGGATTTTTAGTCACTTTGGTCTAGTACAGCAATAGGGAACCTTGGCTCTTTTATGACTTGTGGACTTCAATACCCAGAATTCCTGAACCAGCCATGCTGACTCAGGAATTCTGGGAGTTGAAGTCCACAAGTCATAAAAGAGCCAGGGCTCCCTACCCCTGATCTAGTAGTTAAGGCACCTGGCTAGAAACCAAGAGATTCTGAGTTCTAGTCCTGCCTTAGCCATGAAAGCCAGCTGGGTGGCTTTCGGCCAGTCACTCTCTGTCAGCCCAACCCATCTCACAGGGTTGTTACTGTGAGGAGGAAGAAATATTAGGTACATTCTGTGCCTTGAGTTACCTATAATGTAATAAAGGCATGATATAACTAGCTAACTAACTAACTAACTAAAATATAATTCATGTTAGCCCTTGATTTTTTGCTCTTTTTTTTAAAGTGCTATTTCACAGTTGCTTTGAGTAGAGCTAAGTCAAACATTTCTCAGAATGTTTTTCTGAGGAAAATTTTTTTTCCCTTTTTCTCCTCACCTGAGGGGGCAGAAGAGAGAGAGAGAGGGGGGATATTTTGCATCCCTTGTTGTTCATGGCAGATTGTGCCAGAACAAGACAACAATCAGAAAGTTGGGAAAGATATAAAATGGTGGCCAAGCAACCCACACATTTTCTTCAGTTGTGGCAACGGGTTAATTATGATAGCATCCAACTATAGTAGATGAGGAGGCAGTTTATGATGAGCCCCAAATTCAAAAAACTTTTAGAACTCTTCTGTTTCATTCACGAATAGGAGGTAGATTAGAAGATTAGATAGATAGATAGATAGATAGATAGATAGATAGATAGATAGATAGATAGATAGATAGATAGATAGATAGATAGATAGATTAGACTAGACTAGACTAGACTAGACTAGACTGGACTGGACTAGACTAGACTAGACTAGACTAGACTAGACTAGACAAATAGACCCAGCCCTTCAATATCTGTGGAGCTGTCTTAGAGGCTATTTGCCTGTTCTAGTGAAAAGGTGTGCCGAAGATACACTTGTTGTTATTTTAAAAAGATAAATTGTGCAGCTAGGTCATAACATCTTAAACCTGCAATATCTCTAGCTGGTCCCTTTCTATAAATAACAATAAATGAATGAACTGTACATTGTCATGGTAACTCACAATGTAAAATGTGATATTTGAAGAAAGAGACTGAGGAAAAAGTCTCTCTGATCTTGCCTCCCTGCATACTGCAGCACCAGGTCAACCATTGTGTTAAGCTGCTAGTCCCGGTCTTTGTAGGCTCCAACCCTCATGCAGAAAATTCAAAACAATTTTCCTCCTGAGCAGAGCAATCGGCAGCACCATTGACCTCAGGCCAGTTAGTTAACCTCCAGCCTCTTCACTTGCAGTGGGCCACACATTGTTCTCAGATGAGCCTTGATGCTGTGAAAAGGAGTATCACAATTGAGAAAAGATGCGGCAGTCACAAAATGCTGCTTTCCTCCATGCAGTCCTGGCAGCTGTTGACAATGTTACACTTGCCTCAGCTAATTGTGGAAACAGCAACAGGCTGCCAAAAAGGGGATTTTCAAAGCAAGCTCTCTGACATCTGTGAACAAAGTGGGTGGAAGAGGAACCCCACATGTATATACACAATAGCTCTCTTTCTCCAAATAGGGGCTTTCTTGGCTGAAAAAGTGCCCTTGACAGGGAGGGTGATATATCGATGGCATTCAGAGCCAAGAACACAAAGGATTGCCATGCGTCCTTTCCCTGATTCACTGAGTGTAAAAAGAGGAGGAGGAGATGATAATAACAACTAATCTAACAGGGCTGCTGTGGTGAAGTTAGCTTGTCCATTCAGCCTTTTTTAAAAAAGTAAATCACTATCCTGTTTTTTTCCCCTCCTCAGCAGCTATCACTTAAAAAGTGATTTATGGATGGTCCTTGCTTAGCAACTCCAGTTGGGACCAGCAACTCTGTCACTAAGCGCTGCAATCACTAAGTGGAAAAATCATGTGACCATGATGGACTTAGGATGTCACTTGTCATTCAGTCATTAAGTAAGCCACTAAGGTCATTAAGTGAAACACTATCTGACTGAGCCTTGCAATGGCCATTAACTCTGCTTGTTGCAAATCTGTTGGAAAGCACACAAATGGCAATCATGTGATCATGGGATGCTATGATGGTCGTAAATGCAAGGATCAGTCTAATGCAGGCATGTCAAACTGCCGGCCCACAAGCCAGATGCATCATGCCAAAACCGCCCCCACCCCATTGCCAGCAATGGGGAAAAAGTCCTGATATGTCGCGCAATGTCACGTGACATCTTGAGTTTGACATGCCTGGTCTAGTGGCTAAGACACCAGATTGTGAGTTCTAGTCCTGCTTTAAGCAATAAACTGGTCTTGGGCCAGTCACTCTCTCTCAGTCCAATTCATCTCAAAGGGTTGTTGTTGTGGAGAAAATAGATAGTCCTCAACTTACAACAGTTCACTTAGTGACCGTTTGAAATTACAATGGCACTGGAAAAAGTGACTTATAATCATTTTTCATACTTATGATCATTGCATCATCCCCAGGGTCCTGTGATCAAAATTCAGATGCTTGGCAACTGACTCATATTTATGATGGTTGCAGTGTCCTGGGTCCTGTGATTATCTTTTGCAACCTTCTGACAAAGTCAGTGGGGAAGCCAGATTCACTTAACAACCCTGTTACTAACTTAACAACTGCAGTGATTCACTTAGCAACTGTGGCATGAAAGTTATCACAGTTAAAACGGGGCAAAAATCTCTTAACTGTCTTGCTTAGCAACAAAAATTTTGCACACAATTGTGGGCATAAGTCGAAGATTACCTGTAATAGATCATTATTTTTTGTTTTCAGTTTTTGCAAAGGATAAAAAACATTTCTTCAACTGGTTGCTCAGCGAACAGTTCTGAATCCTGTAACCCACTTGTCATCAGATGTCCAGGAACTAAAAAACCTAGCATGGTCCTTGTTGACCCAGGCAACAACTGAGCAGTTATAGGTTTCTATATGGTGTTTCTTCAACATATTGTTTATGGGAGAGGCACTATTTGTCTGGCTCCTCTAATGAGACTGTCCAGTATGGTTCAATCTCATTTTCTTCAGAGCATGCAAGCCCCAAAACC